AAAAAAAAACTAAATGTCTAAGAATCCATTGATACATTTTCTCCTACAGGAAATGTAAGCACAGTTATTCAACTAACCAGAGTTTTAACAGCAAGCAACAAATCCAAACACACCAAGCAACAAACCAAAACCAAAACAATTAGTGAAATCCATATTTATGCACAATCTATCGGAATCATATTAACAAATTAGGAACTCGAATGTGCAGTTAAACGTTACTTTAAGAATGAATTTAGAATTTGTGAAGTCATGGAATCATTGAAATAATGCAACATCAGAATCCAATTTTTCTTTAAAATTAAATAAAAAAAAATAAAAAATGGTACGTATATATTTAATTATTTAAAACTAGGAAAAGCATAAGAACGAATTAGAAGAGAGGATGAAGGAAAGCCTTTAGCATTTGGTTCTTTTTATAAATTTTATTTTTAATATAAATTATTTTGGCTAAAATCTCATTGCAACTGTTTTTTTATGTTCCTATAACTAGTTATGTGTCACTTCAAAAAAAAAATTGAAATTGGATAATGAAAGAAAATATGATTTATATTGTTAGAAACCCTTTCAAAGCTTGATATATATTTTTCCTTATACTTTTTATGATTGTTTTTTATATTGTTGTATCAATATCAAATAACAGTTACAAAATGACATCAAATAAGAGTTGATAATTTAATTTTAATCCAAGATAACAAAGTGGTTATAAGAGATAATATGAAAAAAAAATATAAATATAGCCTACCTCAAACAATAAATCCTGCTTATCTATTTAAGAGTTAACAAATAATTATTCACGTTAGAATTGGACTCAAGTTGACTTTCAGCAACTATCAATATAATTTATTTGAAAATAAAAAAGAAAAATTAATTTAGGGAAACCATGTACCAAAACAGGTAGTTTCAATCACTCATCACTATAAGATCGGGTTATCCTTCACTTTTTGAATTATGCTACCCTTATCCACATGTGATTTCAAACTCTTTTAAATTTTCGACTTTTTGAAAAACTGAATATCGTTTTGTCATAATATTTTGAATAAGAAAAATAAGATAGAAGCCCACTGCAACAGTATCGCAGCTTGCAAAAGGGATTCTGAATTAATTTAAAAAAGAGAAAAATTCATTGATATTATTGTGATTTGTTTCAGAATCATCTGTGTTCATATGATTTTTTTTATTACACATATGTCCTTGTAGTTTGTAAAAAATAAAAAACTACATGACAGATGTGATAAAAAAAAAATACTCTTTTGCAAACTATAGAGAAAAAAAAAACCACAAAGACACAGTTGACTCTGAAATAAAACCACAAAGGTATTGGTGAATTTTTTCCCTTAAAAAATTGATGATTATTCTGATAAATGAGTATTAATTAATATTTAATAATTCATCACAACTGTTAATACCTTAAAATAAGAAAGAAAAAGAAACTAAATCACCGTAGAAATTTCTAAAAAGGAATTATTAGGATATCTTGTTAATTACATGAATAAATGGTAATTAAAGATATGTTATTTATGAAAATTGAATACTGACTTAAATGGTAGTCTTTTCCTTACGATGATTTTCTCAAAATCATTGCGCCCTTCCGTATCCTTTCCTATCTTCTTCTTTCATCATTCTCTTACCTTAAATTCTTGTTCAACTCCCGTTACACAAGGTTAACATTTTCTTTTCCCATACCCTCCTCTTTTTGCACAGTTTCTGTGTTTCTCATCCATTCCTACTTCTAAAACCTAGCTTCTAACTCTCTCTCTCTCTTTTGGTTCCCTTCTTTTTTTCTTTTTCTTTAAAGAAAAGCACACGAGAATGGATTGTGATCAAGAAAACAAGTTCGATGATGATTTACATCAGGTACTGTGATCTTGTTCTTCTTTGATATTTTTCTTTCTTCAGCTGTATCTCGATCAATTGTTTATTTTTTACCCTTCTTTTTTTTTCTTTTTTCAGAAGGACGATGATAAGAAAGAAGGGTTAGATCATGCCAAGAATTCGTCTGAAGAGATAGAGAAGATGAATAGTCCAGTACCTTGTGAGTCTTCTGAAGTTGGTAATAAACCAAAGGGTAAAGAAGGGTCGCCAGATCAGAAATCTGCAGCTTCAGGAATACACAAGTGTGTGTTCTGTGGGAAGGAGTTTAAATGTGGAAAAGCGTTAGGTGGCCACAAAAGATTCCACCTTCAAGCTCAGAAGAAGAAGGACAAGGAGGATAAAAAGGCGGCTATTAGTAATGAGATCAAGATGTCTTCTTTGATGTCTAATGGGAAACACTGTTGTTTACTTTGTGACAAGGATTTCCCATCACAAAAGTCCTTGTATGGGCATATGAGGTCCCACCCTGATAGGGTTTGGAGGGGTGTTTGCCCTCCAACAACAACCTCTGATAAGCAAGGTTCTAGTTCCCCAAACTCTGCCTCTATAGAAGAGATTAAACATGATAATTTTGATTTTGGTGCAGTTGTTATTGCACCAAATAAACCAGCTATTGATCTATCAAAAATTCTACCCCCAACCTGGCGTAAAACCTATAGAAGAGGCAGGGAAAGTCTTTGTAGTGATGAGACTTTTGAAGCATCTAAAATTATTATGTCTTTGTCTAAGGGTAGTTTGCCATGTGATAAGAATAAGAAAGGAAAGCAATTGATTGAATTCGAGGATGAGAAGGAGAAGGAGGAGGAGCATAGGTATGCTAAGTGGATTAGAGAGGAGTGTAATTATGTGAAGAAGATGAAAAGAGCATGGAATGGTATGAACACTCATGAAGCATCATCTAGTGGGGTGAAAGATCATGTTATTGACTCTGATGAAGAGAAGGAGAAGGAGATGATGAAGAATAAGGAAAAGAAAAGAAGGAAGTTGATAGTGAAATTGAAGACTCCAGATAAGGTCTTGCAGCTGCAGCCAAGAGATGCATACCAATGCAACATCTGTGATAAATCATTCTCAACATTCCAAGCCCTAGGAGGACACAAATCAAGCCACAATAAAGAGAAGAACAATAAGCCTCCAAATGATGTCAACATCGGAGAATCAAGTCAATCTGGCCAAAAAAATTCACTCCCTGATCTGAATGAGGTATTTGATTTAATGGATGATGAAGAAAGTTAAGTCTACTTATCAGGTAAATAATGCAGACTATGTTGTCGGTATCCCATGTGTAAACATTGGAACTTTTTCCAGCTACTTTAATTTTGCCCCTTTTTTAATATTTTGTTGCTGGTTTTTGTCGTATTATAATTCCTCTCACTTTATATTGTGTGTCATGGGAATATGGGATTTTATGTTAAGAGTTTCTTAACCATCCATTTGCCACGAAAAATCGTTGGTAATTTTATCCTTCTAAATAGAAATTGACCTTCTTCAAGAGCGTATGATTTTATTTTTTAAGCTTTCGTAAGTTTTCATGATGTGACTTATTGCAATGTTGAATGTTGTGACATTTTACACTGAGTTTTAAGCCAATTAGTAATGTTGAAGTTTTAATCTGTGGTGGTTTTACATAGAAATGAAAATGGTTAAGTTTTTGAAACTTGTATGCTAAATTGATTTCTTTTCTATACAAAGAACTCACCTTCATCATCAATTATTATTGGTTCAAGTGATAAAGGGTGTGTAACTTTAATTAGATGTTTTGAATTCGAATAAACAATTGTGAAAATAGGGTAAACTTAATTTGCCTACATCAACATGCATGATTTTGTCATACAATCGAAGCTAATTGCATCCAGATTTAAAGTCAGTATAACTGATATATAGAGAGCTTAGTGAATACGGTGTTCTTCTCTAGGAGTTGCTTCTTCTGTTTTTTTAAGCTATCCAATGATGCAGTTTACATTGTGGGAGGTTATCCAACGATGAAGAAACAATATATATATGGTTTAAAAGTATATATATTGATATCAAACCAGTAATCTATTCTTAGTTTAATAACCAATCTATGTAACGTAGTCATTATTAATCGGTACAAAAATGGTGTAAAAAATTTAGTGTAATAGTGCCACATATTTTATTCCAAATCAAAAAGTTTTTTTAATGAAGACAACATATTGGTGTATAAATTACATAATAAATATTATTTTAGTGCAGACTCAAAAAAATGTGATTGTGAATTTTGGAGTTGAGTCTTTTGTATTTGTTGGCAAACTAAATAAGTCACCATAATGCTCACATTCTTTTGGATGATAATTTGCAAAATGTCTAGGAAGCCCAATGGCTTGGTTAGATGATTGCCGGAAATGCTTTAGGTAATGTTTGGTTCGGGAGAAATTTTTTTTTACTAGGGAAATGTAATTGATAGAGAAATAGTTGGAAAGTGAGCTTGGTAGGAAAATGTAAAAAAAAATTGTTTGGTTGACCCAAATATTACCAGGGAAATTTATTTAAATATGCAAAATCTATGTTCGGGAGAAACTTTGCACCTGTTTTTTCACTTCCCCAGTTATCTCAAAATACCACATCTCAAGTGGTATTCTGTAACAGTGAATTTTATCCAAAACTCAACACAAAAGTCATTTTCCCATCTATACTATTTGTCTGGTATTTTTTGAAAAAACCTGAACCAAACGTGGTATTTTTCAATATCCACTTACACTTTCCCATCAATCCCAAAATAAACCTTCAACCAAACACTACCTTAAGAATTTGAGGAACATTTGGCTCTGCACAAAAGTAGCAATTTTGTTGAACAACATTAACATATTGCAAAGCCTGAATTTCTTGTATCTCAAAATCTTCCTTTTTGAGATGTCACATCTGAACTAGTAAGTCAACAATCTTCTCTCCCAATAAGGGAAATTTTCTCTTCTTTCCTTTTTCTTCTCCCTCTCTCTCTTTTCTCTTCTCTCTCCACCCTATTCTCTTTTAAGGGACCACAAGGTCGAGAGCTCTAAATATTATCTCCCCAATAAGAGGAACAAATTTTTAGTAGTACAGTACAACCCTACGATGATCTTATAATTATGTATTTTTTAAGAAGAAGGTTATATTTACAAATTTTTTGTTTATAAACTCTTACAAATTACACTAAGTGTGACCGGTCATACTTCAATCAAGAGTGTATGATCGGTCATACTTTGTGTACTTTGTAAAAAAAGTTAGTAAATGGATCATTTCCTTTTTTGGAATATACTATTATAATATTTAAATATTTTTTCTTTTCAAGCTAACAAATTCTGGAGAAAGGGAAAAAAAAATAAGCTTAATATTATATCTATATATTCTTCAAAATATATAATTATAATATGATCGTCTAGTATTACTTAAGATTTATCCCAACAAGAAATGAAGATATCCTCCCTCTCTTCTGTCTCCATCAACGGGGGTGTAAATGAGTTATTTGGTCTAACAGGGATTTACGACTCAGTCTACATAAGGTCAAACTCGATTTATTATATATAAGCAAATAGAATAGGATCAAGCTTAAAAAAAAAGCCTATTTCTAAAGCAGACCATAAACTTTCTTTTACTTGCCGGATCTATAAGCCTATTTGTTGACTTATATTATATTATATATTTTTAATAAAATAAATAAATTATTAATTTTAAAATAATAAATTAACATTATTTTAATTATTGAATGTCTAATAAGCTTAAACAAGCTAACATATCTAGGCCAAGACTCTCGTTTTATAAATATAGGTCATACCAGACTTATAGTTTAAGCCTATATAAGATTAACTAACCAAGTCAGGCTTAAATTATTTTACACAAATCTAATATATTTAAGTCAAAATTTAGCTCGGATCAACTTATTTACACCCATGTGACCACCACATGCAACAATTATTATACCAAAAAGAAAGTTAGGAGTTCTCATCGGGATCACAAAAAGAAAGGAAGCAGACGAGCGAAAAGGTGCCAGTTGAGAGAAATGTAAGCTTGTTTGATTGTGAAATTTTCAAAGAAAAAAAAATGTGTATTCTTTTAAATGACATAAGCTTAAGTTTCTTTAAGAGAGATACAGACACAAAGAGATATGAATTTCATTGAAAAAATAAAGATGTGAATTTTACCTCTTTGTATCTATCTCTCTCTTGAAAGGATATAAGTTTGTGTCTTTTTAAAAGACATTTTTCCCCAAAAAAAAATTTCAATTAAAAAGTATGTTTGAAATTTTTTAAAATAGTTGTTCTAATTTAAGAAAATAATGTTTGTTATTTTAAAAGATATAAAATTGTGTCATTTTAGTCAAAATTACTGTGTTTCATAGTGAGAGAAATAGAAATAATGATAAGAAAAGTAAAAGATTTTTTTTTTAAATTGCAATATTAAATAAAAATACTAGTTTTAATTAAAACGATTGTCCTTTAAAAGGACAAATATTTTGTTTACTAAAAAAAAGGATAAACATTTTTTCCATAAAAAATACTAAAGTTTAGAAAGAAAAAAAATAGTTTTAGAATCCTTCTTATAAGATAAAAAGAATAGTTTATGAAAAAAAAAAAAGCATAAAATAATGCATATAATTTTTTATTCACACATTTTAGATAAAAATATAAGCACTTGAGAAGATTAATAGATAAGGAAACTGACTACCGTTATCAAGATACAGAGGGAGATGATAAGGAGTTTGAAAGAATTTGGGTTCTTCGATTCACCACCAGTTTTCTAAGACTCAGTTGATATATGTGCCTCGTTTGCAAGACAGTCTTCCCCACAATCCATATTCAGGCTTTAAATATAAAATTTATCTGCAACTAACTCCCAAAAATAATTTGAAGGAACCATCATCATTAAGTCAGTTGTTACATGAGAGTTGAACAGATGAGAGTAAAAACATGTATTTAATCTTATTCAGTATTATTTTTGGGAGAAACGCATATTGGATATTATGGTAGCACAAAAAACTAGGCGTGACATCGACTTTATGAGTAGTATGTAAGGTATACAAAATTTTTTTTTCTCTCTCCAAAATAATTGCAGTGACATGGCACACTCTTATTCGCCAAATGTATCTACTTTCGTAATATATTAGATTTTTCGCTTTGGGAGAAGTTTAAACTTTAAAGCCTTAATCCTGACCATTCCCGAACAGGATTGCCTTCCGTGAAATATATATGTGGTTTATCCAAAAAAAGAAAGTAATAGAATGAGAAAGATTATATTTACTACCATTCTTTCTTACTATCACTTGATATTATTTTATAACGTTAATTTTATTTTGATCCAATAATAACAAAGTTGATAGTAAGAGAAAGTAAGAAAAAATAGTAATAAATATAACCTCTCATAAAAGAATATTATCCACAAAACAAAATCTCATAATCCTTAATATGATGAGATATATTTAATTTGCAGAAGCAATTATCGGTTATTCCTAATGCACACTCATTAAGTAAACAATTAAAATTAAAATTGAGTTAAACAAAAATTCAAGCACTCACATGACTAACTGTTATGTAACATATTACCCATACAGATTTTTACATCAGCGCAACATATATCAAATTGATTTGTTTGGATTCAATAGCGCTTGTATATATTTAATAATCAAAGTAATTAAATATAAATAGAATCACGACGAAGGTTGAGAATATAACTTACATTAATATAAAATCATCCTAACCCAGGTAAAATTCAAATACCTCCCATGTTGTCAGACTGTGTGACTCATATTATATATAATGGCGACGCAATATTTTTTTTATAATATTATATTAATGTGGAATATTAATAATTATATATTTATAACAAAATCAGTAAATTTAAGAATATGATTAGTGTGAATTCTAATTAATTAAATATAGATTCTGAGCTAATTAATTTATTAGATTTGTGATGGGCGAGCCCAATTACTTATAAGGATACATAGATATTGGTCTCTCTTGTCCAATTATCAAAATTAAAGGATAAGTTACGGTAGAATATATAAACTATATGTAAGTATTTAAACTTTACCCCTTTAAAATTTTAAATATATTCTTTAAAAATTAATGCATCATAATAAATTAAATAATCAAATTTTTTTTTGGGTAGTCAAATAATCCAAATTTTAATATACTTTTATGATTGTTATATGAAATAAAATATTAAATATATTTATTTATTTAAGAGTCAACAAATAGACTATCATTATTCGGAACAGTGACCATTTTGCCACGCTTGGCAAA